TCACAGAGAGAGATATATATTTAGACAGAGCCGTACTTTCTGAGATTTGTTCTCCAGAGGAACTGGCCTGGATTTTTTCCACTCTAGAGATGCAATATTTTCCACTAGAGATGCCGCTTAAGGATGTGGTTTTTTCCACTACCAATGCCAGTTATGAGCCTTTTTGCCTCTCTTGGATTGAGCCATCACCAGCAGGTTCTTGCAACGACGGGAAATCCCTGTTACAGGGCAGTGCCACGCTGTCATGCCTCGAGGATTAAGTGTACAGCCTTGTCTCCTGCCCTGCAGCCAGTCTGGATATCACTTGTGCACAGCACCGAGCATCTCCCCTGCTTTTTGGCCCTTACTACTGACACAGCCATGCCTGACATACAGTCTTCTGGATCAGGAGGGAGACTGGAGGAATATACAGCAGGGAAACAAAGCTCATTAGGACCCTGAGAGATTGTCTTCATGCCAGCAGTATCCTCGTGCCTTGCTCTGTGCTCCAGCACCTGATCTGACATCACCTGCCATAGGAAAGGAAAGCTCAGCAGCTGCCCCTGAGACAGCAGAGAAGACTGGACAGTCAAAAGTGTTTCTTCTTCCTGTAAAACTCAGCAGGTCTACCGAAGATCCACTGATTAAGTGCAGCGTGCCTGACCTCAGTGGGGTCCATAGGTGCTGCAGGGATGCGAACTAATTAGATGGAAAAAATCTGTTCAGCTTCAGCCCTGACCACATGAACTAATCTTGTAAATTTATTCCCTGCTCTCTGGTGCCTCCCTATGAGAGGAATTTGTGTTACAGAATGTCTGGGTGTCGCTAGAGGGTGGGAAGGTTGCAGAGGAATAACGAAGCTCATAGCGCATGTGGTAATACAGGAATACCACAGGAGCTGCTAATCCTGCTCCCTATGGCTGTTAGGACCCTGCCAGCAAGACCCATGTGCTGGCATCCTATTGTCTGGCAGTGGCAGTGGGGGTTACAAGAATTGGTCCAGGGTAGAGCACACAAGTCATCCAGAAGTACCTGCCCAGGAGGCTGGCTGAGGGCAGGAAGAAGGAGAGGGCAGAACAAGGGAATTACAGGGAGACGCTGGAGCCACCTCTGCTTGGAGAAAGAGCTCTTCATGTGGCACAGCTCTTTCTTTGGTGTCTGATGATAGTGGTAGGGTTCCACAATGTTTTTGTGTGACTTTTGGGGGGAAAATCACTGTGGTAGAACTGACAAATGGTGAGGAAAAGGTGATCAAAATAAGTGATGCTCACACCTTCAGCACAGGGCTGCATTCAGAGATTTCCCTCCCTAATGGCCAGGCAACATCTATCCTCAAGCCCCTGGGAAGCTCCCTGTGCTGGGGTGTGTGATGGTTTATCTGCCTGTGGGAGCTAAGATGGTTGGATATGTCTGGTTCCTGTGTCCCTGTGGTGGAGCAGACACATGGATGGAAGCAGGAGCAATTTTGTGCTGCAAATCATCCTTGTCTTCTGAGCAGTGCTGTAGCCTTGCCACAGGTCTGCAAGGACAAGAAGGAGAGAGAGATTTGCAGAGTCCATCCTGTCTAATTGTCACATCTGTGCTTGAATAGCATCTACTTGCCCTCTTTCATCCTCTGCACCTTCAGCTCCTGGAAATACTCCCCTGGGAATGTCACTGCTTAGGACATAAAGAAGAGATTGGAGGGACAAATCCTTCACCCCTAGAGAGAAAAGGGCATAGAGGTAAAGTCTGAAAGTGGGTGACAGGAACAGGAACTGCTGCTCCTCCAGCAGGACAACAGACTTCTGGGCTTGGGTAGATAGATACTGGAGAGGAGATCTGGAGCAGAGATGGAAAGCCACTTCAGCATCTTCCCTCCCACCACAACGCAGAGAGCTGATCAACCCCGTGTCACCTTACAAGCCACTTAATCCCTTCCGTCATGCTTCTCAAGGAAGGGGGTGCGCGGGCCAAGGTTTAGCTGCCACCAGCTGCCCCTCAGTCATATGCTGAGCGTCTGCAGGAGCATGTGCAGGGGGACATGACTGACACCTTGCCAGTCTCCTGCACCTGGGAATTGCCCAGCCCTGCAACCCCAGACCCAGCTGGCTCTTTGATCTCTGTGGGGGCTGAAAAAAGTTCCCTTCCACTCCAGCTTTGGAGAGGATCATTCTGATTTTGTCTGGACTTCTCATATCCTGGCAGGTGTCAGTCTTGATTTCCAAGACACCATGGAGGGGAGGTGGGAAACAGGAGGATTATAAAAATAGTGTTTTAAACCCACAAATGTGCCCACCCTTCCTCTCAAGTCCATGTGTTGGGGCCTTGTTAATCTAATTGCCCTCTCCTTCCTACTAATGCCATCAGCCTCCATAAGAGCAGCTACACAGTGTCTCCCACAGGAAATATCATCCCCAATGTTTTTGAGAACCCTGGAGGTGTAAATGTGATAGATGGAGAACCAGGAGACAACCTGTGCCATGTCTCAACACTGGACAAAGTCATCCATGATCTTTATCAAGGAAGGAAATAGAGAGATCACCAGGCACATGCTGGGTGTGAGGACAGCAAAATCTCATGTTCTCTTCAGCTACCCTTCTCTGGGTCTCACCAGCTGCTGCTCACAACATCTGAGCTGTGTGATAGATTAGTCTGCACTGTTCCCTGGAAGGAGAGGCTGTAGAAGTCAACCATTTACAAACATGGGGCCTCTAAAGCACAGAGTGTCCTCTACCTGCAAAAGGCATCTTTCAACCCATGCCAGAAGGACTTTAATATCAGGAGAGATCTGATGCTCTTGAGTGCTCCAGTCCCAAACTTTGTAGAAGTGAAATAAGATGAGAGTTCCCTCACAAAGTTTGGTCTTTCTGTCTGTTAAGGGTTAAATTACAGACACAAAAGCCATGGCTGCTGACAACTTCAGCCTAGATGGGCCAAGACACTGCTTTGCATTGGACCTCACCCTTCAGGATGCTTAACCTTTGCTCCAGACAGTAAATTGATCTCACACCTGGCTGGGATGGGATGTGTGAGATCTCATTGTAAACTGCCTTAAATCCAGGGGCAGAGACTTAAAGGAAGCTGTGGCTACACAAGGCTGTGAAGCAGGTCAGCATCCCCCCACTCCAGTGTCCCACATGAGCCCAGCAGGGGCTTTTAGCTGAGCAATGTTCTCAGGATCACAGTGTATTATGCTACAAGACAAACTCCTAAACAGGACCACTAAGTCTGGTCTGTTCTTGTGTGGGTTTCTGCAAGACTCACTGATGCCTTTTTTTCCTCTCTTTCTTCATGTCCCTCAGGTCTCCTCTCTTTTGCTATTGAGAGACTCTAGATGACTGAGACAGCCAAGGTGTCCTTCTGACAGCTGATGCTGAACCCATTTTTTAGCAAGGCCTGTTGTTCACTAAAGTAACCAGAGTTCTGGGATGCTCAACAAAAGCGTGGTGTGAGCCAGAACAGGGAAAGACCAACCAGGTCAAATCTAAGGTCCACACAATCCTGCACCATTTCTGAGAGGAGACCTAATGTGTAGGAAGGGGGTTGATGTGCTATGAGGTTTCTTCAGAATTGTTTCCCAGTCTTCACTGGGGGACTTCCTCAGTCAAACATTGTGACTTTGTATTCAATAGCAGCTGTAATGGATTTTTCCAAATAATTTTTTTTGCGTTCCTTTTTTAATTTCTTCAAACAGGTAATCTCTATGTATCACAAGGCAAGGAGTCTCTCAGGTTAGCCATACACAGCACAAATAGTTTATCTTTCTGTTTGTTCTCCTGCTACTTTCACTTGACAGCCTTGGTTCTTACATTGAAAGAAACAGTGGACAGTCATTCCTTATTTACCTGTTCAATAACATTCACCTCTATCACCTGTCTTTCCTCTAGTCTTGCACCAGCTGAAGGATCTCAGCTCACACCTGGCAGTGTCAATCCTCTGACCATCCTTGTAGCTCTTCTCCATTTCCATGAGGTCCTGCTGGTGCCCTGTGAGGGGAAAACAGGAGTCCACCCTAGAGCTGATTATTCCTCTTTGCTCACAGCAGGTGGGACATCCAGAGTGCTTTCTGCCACTCCTTGGCACCAGAAACAAAGATAAATGCTGAAAATCTGACCTTGGAAGGAAAATTGAAGGAACTGGGCTTGTTTCGTCTGGAAAACAAAAGGACCAGAAGGCAGCAAGTAAAATGTATTTCTGTATATAAGGTTTTTCTGCAAGGATAAGGATGAATTGCTCTCCATATTCAGCATGGGGACAAGATAAGGAGAGCAAGGCTCCATTTTCAGCAGGCATGATTTAGGTCTGATGTTAGGAAACTTCTCCAGCTCTGAGCACACACAAACCCTGGAAGCTGTCAGGAAGGGATGGAGCCTCTTTCACTGGCAGTATTTACCAGCAGGTTGGACACCCATCTGTTGGGAGGGTTTGGGGAGAGCTGTCTTGCAAGTCTGTCTATCAGGGTCCCTTCAGCCTCTCATTTCTCCCTTCGTGTTCCCACTGTCGAACCATTCGGCTAGGACAGACCATGCCATCCGGGCGCTGGACATGCTCTGCCAAAGGCCCTCAGGGGAGGAGCAGCACTAAGAGGAAATCTGTGCGAATCTATTATCTGTACTCTCTGCCCAAGGCAGGGAGGGTCTCAGTATCAGACACATCCTCAGTGGGAGCTGCCTTCTCACCTCCCTCTGCTACCCCAAAATGTCACTGTTCTCATTACAGAAGACGTCACAAAGAAAAACTTGCCAGGGGCAGGTGGATTTTGGTCATTCACAGCCCCACTGGCTTTTCTTTCTCATTTTTCAGGGACATTTTGGGAACCCATGGACTACAGACTGGAAGATGTTTGTGACAATTACATGTCATGGGTTCATGTGCCTTCCAGGGTCACAGAGTCTGGAGCCAAGCTGAGAGACCCCATCCTTCTCATCTGCCTCAAGGCAGAAGTGCCTGCTCACAGCTCTGAATCAGGCTGTGTAGAAATACCTCCAGCTTTGTCACATCACAGAGCAGGGCTGCTGTTAAGGCACCCACTCCTCAGCTGCCCAGGGAAGGTGGGGTGGACAAGCAATGAACCTCCAGTTGCCCAATGGATCTTGCTGAGAATATTTTTAGAAATCTGAGATATGAAGTTTTAACAGTTTACATCAACGGAGGCTGCTGATGGTCACTTGTTTCTCTGTGAGAGCAGGGTGAGTTGCCTACCGATGTGTGCTGTGATACAGGTGTGGTGAAGAGGGGGATTAGCTAGGCCAGAGGTGCACAGGCCACCCAAGGGCATGGTGTCCAGGCAGTCACTTCTACACTGTATCCCTGAGAACAGTCACATTCTGGCTGAAGATACCACTGAATTGCTCTGTCAACATTGCATTCATTATGCAAACCTTCTTAAGTGACTGAGCTCAATTAATGTGTCCTCCATGGGCTGTCAGGACATGTGTTAATGGTGGAGAACCATTCAGCTATCAGTAAGGATCCAAAGACAATGCTCAGCTCCCTCTCCAGATTTGTCTGTGCGGCCAGTGCTGCACAGTCACTATTGTGTGCCCTCCCTTCCCTCTCTCCTAGCTCATGCAAGGCATGGCCACAAAGCAACCCATCTTTTTGTACTTGTAAACGCATTTTACAGAGTTGTAAATGCTCTTATTGATTCCTCAGCCTTATTATCCTTGCTGTTCAGCCAAGAATCAGCTTCCATTTGAGGATAAATTATTAATCAGGTTTCTTCAGGTCTATTTCATAATCATTTCCACCATTCTGGCTGTCACATAAGAAGGATTTGCATATTTATTCTGCCACTTTTCCCCAGAACAATACGTGGCAGCCCATGTTTACCTGCAGACTCTTAAATCACTTTCCCTACCTTAAAAAAGCTTTGCTTTTAGACATAGCAGGCCCTGCACAGTTCAGTCCACATCCTTCTGACTCATTTGCTGCGTAGCGTATTTTTGTAGGCAAATACTTTTCCTTTTCACTTCTCTGCTTTTTCATTGCTTATTTATGATACCCTGTGGGGTAAAACTGTGTGGTTTGTTCAACAACCCATAACAAAAATACAGAAGCTTCCAGCCTGGTACTGACTGTCTTCGGTCCCAAGGCCAGCTTGCACAGGAGAGCGTGTTGAGCAGATATTTTGGCTTTCAGCGCTGTTTTTTTTCCTAGATGGTCACAGATGAGCAGCCCTCATGCCTCATTCAAGGTGTGGCTGTGTTTCTGTGACAGGGGAATACTGCTCAGTGGGAATTGTTTTGGGAATGGTGGGGTGGAGCAGGGATGGGAATATGGTGAAGGTGATAGCACCTATCTAGGAAGGGACAATGTTTACACTCACAGTAAGTCAAATGGAGGGGACTGAGCCACACCAAAGGTTAGTGTTTTAAGCAGTAACAGGGAAACTGAGGTTCAGACCAAAACAATGCCAGGCTCTGGAGTAGGATGGTGTCAGAGTCAATGAAACCTCCAAAATTCCTGGCTTTAAACAGCCCTAGGAGAGATACATGGGTGTCCTGGTCCTGAATACAGGGTGGGAAGGCAGAGAACAGGCAGATTCACCCCAGCATGGCCCTTATCTTTGCTCTGTCCGTGGGCAGATTCACCTTAGTGCTGCTCTTGTCCTTGTGCTGTCCCGTTATGGTTCCCAACAGTTTCCATGTGGCAGGCAAGTGCACAGGCTGATTCCTTCCAGCAGATGGTAGCAGGAGTAAACAAGGGGATGGGCATCCACAGTGGGATCCCCAGCTGGACACTGAAATGTTGCGCCTCATGTCCAGAGAGAATGTCTGCCAAGAAATCAGCACCCAGGGCCAAGGCACCAAGGGGGGCTGCAGTCCTTCCTTATTGACAAGGCCATGGACACCGTGAGTTTAACAAAGCACTCACCATTCCTTCAGTGAATTCAGACCCGGAATGGCAGGGGGTGTGTTTGTAGACTCAGTGGCCAGTTGGGGTGGGTTAGCCAAGGTGACAGCATGGCATAGGCCAGAATGGTTGCCATGGCATCGGGCAAGATGTCAGCCATGGCTCAGGCCAAAACAGCTGTCACAGCACTGGGCAGGAACTGATTTACAGCCCCATTTTTCCCAGCTTGCTTTTGGACTGTGATTCTTCCACTTGAGACCTTGCAACCCTGTTGTCTCAGAAGTGACAATATAGCAGATCTTGACCTTCCCCACAGCTCTTCAGATTTACTCCAGAAGCCCTCCCTGTTTCCTCCCTTTGTTCTTTCTCCTTCCTCCACATACATCCCTCTTTTTATCCCTTCTCTCCTGTTTTCTCACCAGTGATGACTTTCTGCAGGCCTTCAAGATCCAAATTCTTAACACCAGGACACTGCAGGGAAACTCCCACTCATTTTTTTGGTAGAGGAAGTTTCAAAATGCGATGTTAGTGCAATGAGAAGAGCAGAGGCCAGTCAATAAGAAATTGAAAGGAGCTATAAAGCACTTGGTTTAACAGAAGGACTTGGATAGTTAAGGTGTGTGTCGTGCAAAGAAGACATGGCTGTAGCATGTCTAGAAGTGAAGACAAGAGATGTTTTCTCCAACAGCTCAGACTGTGCCCTGGCTCCTGTAGAGCTTGCAGGCTGGTTTGCAAAGCTGTGTTGCTACATCCTGTCTTGCCAGCTTCCCACCTCCAAGTGGTTCAATTCCCATTAGTTGGCTCACTTTCCCAAGACACCAGCATGGGACTGGATGACTGGGGTGCTTCTCCATGAAGGTGTGGAGTTTACAAATGTCAGGTGCTGACGTTTGAGGAGGTGATGGCACAGTGGTGGGAAGGGGAGAGCCTGTATCTGCTGCAGAGGGACCCATGGGTCAAGTGCTGCTCTGTGTGACATTTGACAGGTCTGCAACATATGCTGCATCCCCCTGCAGGCTGAGCCTGTCCTCCAAATCAGCTTCCAGCCTGTCTCAATGTGAGGTTAAATCCTTGTTCAGGATAAAGAAAGTAGAAAAGCAGCAAATGGAACCAATCAATTTGCCATCTGAAAACCGATCAATTTGTGGGGACCCCTTCCCATCCAAAGACAGGGTGGGAACTGGGTCCAGCCACTCTGTGCATGCAGGAAAGATCAGTGGGCAGCCCATAATAAACCCTAAATGTATTTCCAGCCATAAAATGCTTGACATGCCTTCAGAGAGGCTGTTGAAATCCCTGATTTGCAGCTGGCACTCATTTTCCATTGCAGGTAATAAAAAGACTGAGCCAGAGTGCTCAGATATTTCATCGTTGGGGTCCATTGCCATCCCCCAGCCTAATGGCCAGATCACCAGGACTCACACACCTCCTCCTCTTCCTTCTCAGGGCTCTCCTTTCCCTTCAAACAGTATCCGGACCCTGCAGGTGATGGAGGGTGAGATAACAAGCAGGAGTGGTGATTTCAGGAAGTGGTTGGGACTTGTAAATCCTCACAGGGGCTTCCTCTGTCAGAAGAGCTATCCGGGCAGCGGGGCATGTGCTGGCTGAAGTCATGCCTGTTAGGGAGGTATTTGTTCTTCTGGCCCCCACGGCCCAGGCCGGTTGCTGTAACATCCCTCGAGCCAGGATCTGGTTGCAGTAATAAAGTTGGGCGGGTTGGGTTCCTGGCTAGACAGGAAAGAGTTATTGATCAATGCCATGGACTCTTCCCACCTTCCTCCTGCCCACGGGTGCATACCAAGAGAAGCGAGGAAAGCAAAGCTCAAAAGATGCTCTTTTGGGAGTAAAGGCTGGCATGGCCAGGGCAAGGACGTGGGGAAAGGTTAAACACCAGCTGATCAAAGCACAGGACCTTTTAGCAATTTGAAGACAGTTCTTTTTTTCTGAGGCTGGAGAGACAAGCAGGACCCTGATACAAGGCGCATATCTCACTACAGTAGGGTAATACCAAGAAAAATTAACTAAAGTAACAACATGCTTGTGATTTGCATTTTACAAGATCTCCAGGGCTTATATCCTCTCCTGTGGTGGAGCTGGGATCCTTGGTGGACAATCACTATGTACCCACCAGGGAAATGTGGCTTGAGACCAAACATTTCACTCATCTAGTCAAGCTTCATAATTTCTGATCCTGAGCAGATATTATGCCTATAATAAGATTGATACTAGTAATAGCACTAGCAATTGTGGTGATGCTAATAAAGTAATGTTGGGCTCCTCAATCCAAGGAGCTCTAAGCTTTTAAAGGAAGTTAAGTCTCATGGCATCCATCCCACTTCAAGAAAGCTTATTTAGCAGCAAAGCCTTCTCACCACTACTGTGGCATACAGTTTCATCCAGGGTGGAACACAGCAGCTATTTCTGGGTAGGTAATAACAATCCACAGCAATCTAGGTGAAGTAATGAAAGCAAATGCCATATTCAGGACAATTACAGGGGTTACAGAGGAGACAGTGTACCAGGACACCCAGCTCAACCACTAGGCTTTTAGATGTATTAGGAGACTTTTTGTAGTGTTCAGAACCCACAGTGGTCAATCACTAAGACCTTTGGCAGTAGTGTGGTTTCCCATCCTGCTCTGGGTTCCATATGCTTCTGATTTTGAAAGCAGGGAAAGCAGGAGCCTTGCTGTCTCCTCTGTGTGGCTCAGCACAGCCTCACTCTGGCACTCTGCAGGAGGGATTTCTTTATGTGCTAACTTGAGGTTGTCCACTGGGGCCAACACCTTGGAGATGGAAAGCTCACTGTCTTTTGCAAGCCTTGTTCCCTCCCAGAGCTGTGTCAGCACAAGCCTGTCGGGAGCCAGCAATCTCCAGGAGCAAATCACGTCCACAAGAGAAGGGTCTTGATGACCAAGAAGACTCTTTGAGCCACCTCCTTTTTTCTTGAAGTCATAGACACCAATAGCCCAGCCAGAACATGTCCAGCAAAAACTGCTCTGGGACTTAGACCCGGGGGGTGCTGGTGGAAAAAAATCCAAGGCATGTGCTGAAAACCCAAGGCATTTGTGCTCATTAGTACTTGCTGCTCCTGCAGGCTTTGATGAATGCAGAACTAGTTAGCAGCACTGGTGTGAGAGGGTCCAAGAGGTCATGCTGAAAAATGGCACTTTGTCAAAAATGTCATTTCAGCAGCGTTTCGTTGCCTTTTTCTTTAAATGAAAAAATTCAGAAGGAAATGAAGCCAATGTGTTTTTTCACTGTGATCTGAAATTTTTTGCTGCTATTCTTAAAATTTCTTTCTTTTCTCACCCTCTTTCGGTCTATCATTTGCAGCTCAAAAATCAGATTTTCGTCATTCTTCAAGAGATGCAGGTTAGGGTCACATCACTCAGTATTTCCTTTACTCAAAAAAGATGTGCAAAAATCAAGATGAAAATTTGAACTCCACAGGTTTTTGTTTTGTTTTGTTTTTACTATGAGCCAGTTACAGAGAGCTTGGCCACCTTTTTCTACAGAACCTAGATGACTGCTCTGGGTCCTGTTTCAGGAGGCTTAGACCTTTTCTCATGGCTACCACTGGAAGCCCAGGACTGATGCAGTATGAGGGCAAACACAAAGCCTTACTTGTCCTGGACTTCCTCTCCCCGTCCCATCCTGCCAGTTAATGCTGGGAGATTTTGGGTTATGATCAGCCACATCACCTGTGCTTATCTTCCCAAAAAACATCCCTCCCAGACTCAGGAATCTTGAGGAACATAACAGCCATCACTGCCTTAGGCTTGAGCTCCAGCAGCTCATCTCTTCTTTCACTTGAAAATGGGGATTTTGTTGCTCATTCAAAGCTATTTGGCTTCATCTCCAGCTCTGCATTCACTGCCAGAATAGGCAATAGGCTGTGGGGGCCCTCTGGCTTCCAGCATCGTGGAGAGAAGAGGTGTGAGGGCTGGGGGAGCCCATCCTACCCCCTCCTCACCACCCTCCCCCATCTCTGCCTTCTCACTGTCTGGGGAAGAGAGAACAGGACCTCACCTAGGACCTTGGAGACAGACTTTCAGCAAGGAAGAGTCTGCCACTGTGCATGTCAGGAATGATTTGATCAGCCAGAGAGATGAGCACCTTTAGCACTGACATCAGGGGACAGACAGAGGAGAGTGCGAAAAAGCTGGTGATGGACAGCGGGACTGCAGCACATGGCAGGGTGCAGAGACCCAGGGCTGCAGAGCAGCACCCATGGATGGCACGAATCTCTGCTGGGGACAGCAAGGGGCTGATCAGACTGTCTAATGCTGTGCTGAATTTCTTCTCCTGCAAAACCATCCCTGCTGCTTCCATCTGGGATGGGGCTGTTGGTGCAAAGCTGTGCTCCCACACATCCTGCACTGGCTGAGAGTAAAACCAATTGGATGGTGCAAGGGCCTTTGCTCTTACCCACATGCATGAGTGTTTACCCACATGTGCAAACACCCACATGAAAAAGTGGTAGCTATGAAAGGGTAACATAGAACATTAAAAGATGGGTGAATTTCCCTAAATGAGGAATGAGTTTCTTCCAAGAACTCCTTGGCAGATCCTACTTTAGCTTGCTATTCTTGAGAAAGTGGTCCCTGATCAGACACATCTGCCAAGCCTTTCTGAGGGTCACCCTACAGTCTTCCTGTGTGCCCACTGAAACTGTCAAGGTCACCAAGACCATCAACATCCTTCTCTGGCCTCCCTGTCTCAGCAGTTTCTGAGGGCAAGGGTACCAGCTGCAAATTGCTTTGAAGGGCTGGATTGCCACCAAGCTCAGCCCAAAGCCTGGCACTGCAGTGTGTATGAAAGGACCATGGGTATATTTCTGCCTCTCATATAACCACTCACCTCAAGGTGTAATGCTCTTCAGGGATGCTGATGGAGAATAGGCCTATGGGCAATATTCCCTGCCCGAGAGAATTTTGTCTCTTTTCAGAGCCAGACATTTTCCAGAGCTCTTTTAATGCATCTTGTTCTCCTCTGCCCTCTCATCTTCAGAGCATTTTGATCTCTCTTTGCCTTTCTTTCCTTTGGGAACAACTCCCTTTAATTTTAAAATTCCAGGGGCAAAATGAGGCCAAATTGCTGCAGGTGGACATAGCTTCTCTTAGCCTCCACTTTAAAAAACCCTTGCCAAATATGAAAAAAAAAAAGCAACAATAGCAACCTCAAAAAAAATTGAGATCAGAAATTCTGTAGAGGACTGCCAAATGATGTTACTACCACATCTACAGCCAAGCCCCCCTTGCAAAACCTCACTCTACCCCTCTGCATGTGATTCTCACCCATACAGTCTGCTGGTGTCTCCTTGCCTGTTTATACTAAAGCCCTTGTAGAATAAAACATCCATGTAAAATCCAATTTCCTCTGAATCTCTCTCTGAGAAGAGGCCTCGAGATTGAGTAGATAACCTCTGCAGTAATTGCCTGAACCACTCCTGTTTGCTGGAAAGGTGAGATCCATTTTTCAATTATCTATCTGCAGTGACAGCAGCGAGCAACGGAGCTAAGAGGAAGGAGAGAGAGAGAAAGAGAGAGAGGAAATCCAGCCAACAAGAGCCGTCTGTGTCAATCCTGGCAAACGGGAGGTACGATAGATGTGGTCACAGTTCCTGCCATCAATATCCTCTAATATAAATGTCAGCGATGCCATTTTACCCACAGTCATTTCCCACAATGCTGATTACATTATCGTATAATAGAGGGGCGCCAGCCGCACCGCTTTCTCTCCTAACCCTCCTTGCGGTAATGTGTCAATAGCCTGCCTCCATGAAACAAGTCAATTTTCTGCAGGCTTGGCAGCGGAATAAATCTGCCGACTATCTAGAGAGCTGGAGATATTTATACACACCATGTCCTCTCTCTCTCTCCCTCTCTTTCTCTCTCTCTCTTTCTCTCCCTCCCCCTCCCACCTTCCCTCCCTGTGTGTGCAAGCATAGATGTGTGTCCTCAGCAGAATTGAGTGATTTTCAGCCGAGACTCAATAAGGAGAGAATTTAGGGCAGTCCTACAGCTTGGCTTCCAGTAACAGCCCTACACGTTTATTTTCTTTAGCTTAACAGGAAAGAGAGAATTATGTTTAGATTTATATGACAAGGGCAGTTCTACCAAAACGCTTGTGATAAGCACTGTGGAAGGGGGAGGAAGGTGTGTGCATGTGTGACAAAAACCAGGCAGGCCAGTGGCAGAGAGGGATTGCAACACCTTGCAGGTCACACCAGGGGGAATCCTCTGGGAGCTGGAAAAGCAGCTCTTACTTTAACCGACAGCTCCTTTTTTAGTGTATGTCTGAATCAAATGCCAGTGTAAGAAGGAGGAGGGAGACCATGGGCTCCTCCATCCCTGCTGATGGATGAGAGTGATGGCATTTGGCTCCAATTTCTTGAGTCTTGTAGGTAAAGAGGCTTCCAAGGACAAGATGGTCTGGCCATTGCAGTGTTGGTTGTTCTCTTGGGGATGTCGCCAGGACACCCTGTGGTCATCCCCAGGACACCCTGTGGTCCACTGCCCCATACACCCCCGCTATGATGTCTCCCTTTCTCCAGCACAGGTGGTCCTCCTTGAAAACTCCAGTGGCTCCCTCTGCCAGGCAGCAAAGGCCATTCAGGCCATTCTGGACTCCGAGGCTGGTGGAAATTTCAGATACTCCTCATGCTCACAAAGGAGAACTTTGCCACCTTAGTGAGGCACAGCAACAACTCAGAGTGCTCTGGAGAGTCTCTGCTCCCTCTGGATGCTGGACAGACAGACTCTCAGCAGATCTCCAGTCCCTTTTGGACTAAACCAAGAGAATGTGAAGCATTTCTCCTTCCTCTCATCTCTGCTCAACACAGAAGACTTTATACTTAATTCTCATTGGGGGAATTTTTTTGGTGATGGAAAATGTTGTCAATTATATTTTGCCAAGAGGGAAAAACAAAGCCTGAAAAGACTAATAGCAAATACAAGATTGCTTTCAAATTTTTGGGTTTTGATTTTTTTTTTAATAAAAACCTGCAAATGTTCCATCTGTTTTCATCAAATTTTGTGCAAGAGGCAAATAATGTTTGGATCATTGCTTTTGGCTTGATTTCTCCATCCTCCTGCTCCAGAACATGGCAGTTTCTGGGCAAGGAGATTGTGCATCCTCCACTAGCCCTGGGAGAAGTGAGTCTACCGCCTCCCAGTGATGGGGAAGGCTCCACCAAAGACACAGTTTGCAGTAAAAGGTTTTCCTGCTGGCTCTTTGGAGTCATTCCTGTCAGCTTTCAGAAAGTAGGTTTGAGAGAGGATGGTGGCCTTCTACCGTCATAAGGAGACCCCAGGGACCTCATTCAATCCCTGGCTAGTACAGAGCTCTGCCCACATACCCCTAGCCTCGGTGAACATCACATTCTTCCTTGCCCACCTCCACTGGGGCTTTGTAAAATGTTGTTTGTAACCCACACAGTCACCACAAAGTTAATTGCAAACACAAATCTCCTCTGGGCAAGAGCAGGCCCAGAGGAAGCAGAGCAATTTCAGCATGGTGGGGTGACTTGGCCCTGAGGGAAAGCCAGGGAGTGGGTACATTGCAGGGTACTGGGCTTGGGCTCTGGTTGCTCTCCACAGGGGAAGATATCCAACGCTCCACCCATTGTTCTGCTTGTGTACACACCTTCACAATGATGCCAGCAGCTTTGTTTTTTTGCCCTGGCAGCTGTGTCAGAGATTGACAAGAGCTTTATAAAATTGGGAGGGAAGTGGGGCTCCATGTCTTGATGAAAGTTTTATTTAGAAATCAATGAAACCCACAGCTCCATCACACAATCCAGTCCTTCTACCCTTTTAAGTCCTGTCTGCCTGGGCTGCAAGTCATCAGCACCTGTCAGAGAGGCCTGTGGTGAAGGTACATAAGAAAAAACAGGCACCATCCATCCAGAGGAATCTAAAATTCCTTCCATTCTATCTAGAAAAGACCCTTTGTCTGGTAAAGGCTTGTATTGGGTCTTTGCTGGGAAAGGCTCTCCCCACATCTGGAAGGGATAAATCTGTCCCTAGTGGAAAAGAGCCAAAGTTGGAGATAGTTGGGACTGCCCAGTCCAAGAGCCATCAGAGCCAGCAGGAGTCTTCCTGTTGACACAATCAGCCTTCAAATGAGTCTAAAATCTGGACACATGCCCTGGACCACAACCTTCAGAGGTAGGTATTGGGGCTGTTTCACTGCCAAGCCCCAAGACAAACTGCAAAGGAAGGCTACTCGTTAAGATACGTTTCTCCAAAGTGAGGAAGTGGAAACTGAATCCAGAGCACTGGTTCAGATCCTTGTCTGCATATGTGGAATATCATTAAGGGAGAAAAGCTGGCAGCAAGCTTCAGCTGCTTACTACTACACTGGCAGGAAAGACAAATGCAGAGCATAAGATAAATGAGGCACTTCCAAGTGCGAGAAAGTCAATACTATAGAGACCTTCAAACTGGAGTCTGGGGAGCAGCTTACAATTCAGCTTGCTGGTACAGACAGGAAGACATCTCTTTGAGCTGAGGGCTTAGCAGCAGTTCGGACTGGTACGTCCAAGTGGGGTGACAATACAGGTGGCCACATGGGGCTGGACTGCACAAGTCTGCAACAGCCCACTGGGAGGGATTGCTCATGCACCATCTGTGTTATGGAAGCTCTTGAAGGAAATCACAGCCCTGCTGTGTAGCATAATGTTCCAGCAAAAGGAGAATGAATCCTGGTTCAAGACAGTCTCTAGGTGTGGCCAGGCAAAATGCAAGACGGAATAGAAAATAGGCTTGCCCCAAAATTTTATTAAAAATTCATGCTGATCTCCCTGGGACTACTCTTCAGGATGCTCAGAGTCACCCTGGAACACTGGGCACCCAAAACCACTCTGCTACATCAGACCAATGCTGTGTTGCTCCCCCTTCCCCGCTGTGGTTCACTAAGGGGCCAGACCTCCATGGCACAGCAATGCCGAGCCATGCTGGGTACCAGCTTCTCTGCTGTGCAGCATGGCAGCACAGCTGTGTGTGAGGCTGCATTAAATATGGCTCTGGGTGCATATGCACGTGCTCAGTCCCACAGCTGAAGGAAATGCAAACTGATCCACCAAGGAGAGAAAGGAAGATGCTGCCCTGCTTTTTTCAATTATATCCAGGTCCAAGGTCAGCAACCTCTTCCCTCCTGCTCTGCAGTATCTTGTCACACAAAACCCAGAGAGAAAGGGAATGTGATAAAGATGAAAGTGATGTGGCAGGCTCGTATGTGAAAACAATCACCCTTCAATTAAGTGTGATTGATTTCCCAAATCAGAGATGCATTCAGCTTCCAACAGATAGATATGGGCGAAGGCCAGATGCTGGGGAATTCAGCACACGTGCTTGGTCTAGGACATCACAAGGAAACAAAATGGAGATGCTGTAAAGTACCAGGTGCTTTGAGATGAGTCTGAAATGGACATAAAGCTGAGCCAGGAAAATTTTCCCTCTCAAAGAAAAGCTCAGTACTGAGAAACAAAATGCAAAGAAAGGTGGTGTTTTTCTAAGCTTTGGAGAAGATATTTTTTGTATCAGACCAACAACCAAGGGCAGCGCACAAGAGAGTTTGCAGAGATTTTGCAGATATGTAGAAGAGTCTTGCTGACATAAAGCTGTTTCAGTACAGGACAGACAAGGGACATAGCCTGTCTCATGGGGGAGGTGGGTACAGAATGGGGCAAGGCACTTTAGTGACATTTCACAGTGTTGCTCTAAAGCCTTTGACAAACAACTGAGAGGTTCAGAAACTCCATTTGGTTCTGCTAATGTCAGCTGTTTCCCTTTTCTCATTCAGATTCACAGAGAGCCCTTCCAGCTGTTTTACAGACCCCTGATGCTTTGTGAACCAAACCTGCCCACCCACATCCACACTGTCACTGTCCTGACAAAGAACTCAGGGTGTTTCACAGCAGGCAGGCAGTGGTATAGAAGATATCAGAGGAGCCACTTTGCCCAAAGAGGAGAGGAGTCAGCTGTGTCTGCAGCAAGCAGACTGAAGCACTGCAATGAGGCAGAGGAGCAGCATCTGGATAACCAGACTCTGTTGATAAGGCCGTGCACACATGGGCTTGCTAAAATATATGTTATGCTTTAGGGTAAGACTGGATACTCCAATGCTGGACACCACAACTACTCTAGCTAGCACTCCTCATCAGCATTTTTTTAACCATGAAAGGAGGGCTTGCCACCTCTTCAGAAATTTACCCCCTCTGTTCCTATATGAGCCCCCATCACTGCAGCATTCTACAGAGCCCCCCTCTGCATTTATCAGAAATAGGCAAGGGCAAAACTGGCAGCCCCAGTGAGGTGTTTGGCTTGAGAGAAGGGAAGGCAACATTGCAGATTTAGTACAGTTCATGGCAGGAGAACAGCTCCTGTATGTTAGCCTGGGCTGTTGTCCTGTTTTCCCTATCACAATCAGCCCCATCCATCTCCCCCTTTCTCCCCCTTGTCCCTTTCAGTGATTTCACATAAAAGGTCTGCACTTGACCCCCCTCCTCCCTGCAGGGAGAGGGGAAGGCCGTGAATAGAGAGACCCTCATGTTTGCAGAAGTGATTTTCACATTAATGGCAGCATATGTTTGCATCGATTCCAAGCTGCGGGGCTGAGCGCGTGTGTGTGCCTGCGCTCGCTGCGGCCGCCGGCTCCGCGCGTGGGGCACCAGGTGCTCGCTGTCAGGCTGAACAAAAAGAAGTGTCAGCACTCTGCGCCGGGAGGCTGTGCTGGCAGCTCCCCCCTGCCTGCAGCCCTGAGCTCAGAGCATCCTGCCTCTGGCTCGCAGTGGCATCCTCTCGACTCAGCTCCGGAGCTGCCCTCCTCGTTCCCCAGGCCGCACGGCACAGCCCTCCCTCACTGGGGCTGTCTGCTGTCACCCATCCCTGCTGCCCGAAGGCTCCCATGGTGATTTTGGGTGAACGGTGGTCGTGCAGAGGGTGCTGGAACATACTCCGGAGGCTGCTCTGACCCTCTGCCAGACTGGTACATCTCAGGGTCCATGTAAATTCCTGCTATACCCAAAAACATGGGACTGATGAATCATCAAACTCTTCAGGCCATCCTGGCTGGCATCCTCAAGTTTCTCTGGGTGAGGAGAATTTCTCTGTCCCCAGCACTCCATCTTCAATGTGAGTGGCACCCACACTCCCTGCATGGGGCTGGACCCCTCCAACCAGCATCAGCAAACCCTCAGCTCTGCCCTCCCCAGAGCAACAGGGAAGCTGGTGCAGCAGCTTAAGAGCCGTGGGGATGAAAAGCAGTTTGCACATCCCAGTGCCCATCCAGGATGTACTAAACCCAGGTGTTTTCCAATGACATGGAGCCAGGGACTGCAAAGGGGAAGGCCTAACGCTGCTTCCTGGTTCACTCATACCTGGGGAATTTGCCAGTTCATGGATACACTCAAACCTTCATCAGCAAAACTTTCTGGGGGAGTCCAGGACTTAATTTTTTTTTTTTTCTGCTCCATTTCTCCTGCCTCTGAAACAGGAGTCACTGTGTTTCTTTTTGCTGCACTGTGCATCCATCTTCTCTTCTTAGATGCTGACCTGTCTGGTGCCCTGGAGACATGCAATGGCTCCAGCAGTTGGACCAGCATCTCCCTGGGGTTGTCCAGGCACTGCTGCAATCACAGCATATTACTGAAGAATAAGAATTTGGTGTGAATCTGTGTGGACTGTGAGGACCCTCAGAGGCATGGCTGGAATGAATGGACAAAGCAAGCATGTCAGCAGTGCTGCTGCTCAGCACCCAATGACAAGAAGTCTCTTCTGTTCCCAGGTAATCTCAGGCCTATGCCCTGTGGAAGAGCTGTCTCATGCCCCCAGATGAGCTCAGCTGCTGAAGAATCCCACCCTGAAACAGTAGAAATTGCTCATCTTGCTGGGTAAGCCCACCTGACCTCAGGTAGATGTTGCAGACTTTACAGCCTGTGCCACCTCTTTGACACCTGATGAAAATTGCATTTCTACTAACCGTGGTTTAATCTACTTTGCAGGTGGCAAATGAACAGTGATACTTGTGAGGTTTGCAATCTGGAAATTGTTCATCTTCTGCAGAAGAGCCCTGTGCCTTTGCAACAAGATATTCTGCAGGCAGAGCT